GGGCGGAGGGGGATGGCCACACTAGGCGGGGCCTGCGGAGGCAGACTTACTGGTTTAAATGAGACCAGTGGTTGGAGAGGGGCAGGGCTTGTCGCACCAAGAAGGCGGTGGCCCGTGGGAACCGGAGGAGGGAGCGGACTCGTCATGCCAAGGTGGCGGCAGCCACAGGGAAATCACATTTAGCTGTTTGGAGCTCAGGTTCTCAGGATTAGAATTCTCAGAGACTGGGGAGAAGGCAGCTGCTGGTTAAATTTGAAAAAGATCAGAGAGCCGAAATCAATGGATAGAGCGGCGGCTTGAGGACTGAAGGGACCCAGGTTCGATTCCGGTCAAGGGCATGTGCCTTGGTTGCGGGCACATCCCCAGTAGGGGATGTGCAAGAGGCAGCTGATAGATAACTCTCTCTCATCGATGTTTCTAACTATCTCTCTCCCTTCCTCTCTGTACAAAATCAATAAAATATATTTATTAAAAAAGAAAAAGAGCCGAGACCGGTTTGGCTCAATGGATAGAGCGTCGGCTTGGGGACTTAAGGGTCCCGGGTTCGATTCCTGTCAAGGGTATGTACCTTGGTTGCGGGCATATCCCCAGTAGGGGGTGTGCAAGAGGCAGCTGGTCGATGACTCTCTCTCATCAATGTTTCTAACTCTCTATCTCTCTCCCTTCCTCTCTGTAAAAAATCAATAAAATATATTTAAGGGGAAAAAAACCTTAAAAAAAAAAAAAAGAAAGAAAGAAAGAAAAGAAAAAGATCAGAGAGTAAAAAGGGAATTCAACCACCTGTGAATTCCTTTGCTGGAGGCCACAGGAGCAGAGATTAGGCCAGAGAGTGGGCAAGATTAGAATTCTCAGATAGGAATGCCCCACCCTAGGCGGGACTAGGAGGAGCTGTGTGGGGAGGGGCCTGCAAGCTGTGTGCAGGGAGCCATGCAAACTCTGCCGCCCGCCGCCACTGCTGCTGCACAGGCAGCGGTCAGTGGGCGGGACCAGGTGTGTGTTAAGGGGGGAAAATGGGAAAAACACTCCCGGAGTCCGCCAAGGACTCCGCACTCTGACGACCTGGGAAAAAGTGCTTAGAGAGGGACAGGTTTAAGGTTGTAAGGAGGTGGCAGGAGTTAGCCACGTGGAGAGAAAGAGCAGTCGGAAGACAAAGGGGTTTGAGAACAGGTTTGAGAGGGCAGAGAGGATTTCCAGCTGATAGAGGAACATGAGGAATAAAGCGAGGTGGGGAGAGAGTGGGAGGGGGAATCTGAGGCTTCCTTGTCTGGCTGCAAAATTATGTAGATCAGGATATTGGAATGCCGTTTTACGAGGAGGTTTGGTGGAGGGTATTGAAACCGAAAGTGCCGTTTTAAATGAGCTTTTTGGTTTGAAGTAGCCAGATTGGAATCGAAAGCCGAGGAGGTTTGGATTGGGGGGTTCCCATGACGGAGAGAGAAAAAGGGCCACTGAAAAGTTGGGGAGAGGATGAGGGGCGTCCCCCTCTTCTCTCAAATCCAGCTGTAGACAATGGGACGAGAGAAGGTCCCAGGGTCGTCACCCCGAAACCTTTCCCATGGAATAGAACAGAGTTTTCCCGGCCAGGCGCCTGGCTTTCGAAGAACGTGAACGTAGAACGTAGATTGCGTAGCCGAGTAGAGGAGAAAACTCTGAGGCCCTTCCAGGTCAAGGGAACCGGGGTGGGGAGTGGGGAGGCCCCTGAGGCCTCCCGGTAAGGAAGCGACGAGTCCTGGTTCGGGAGGGTTCCAGGGGTGTTCTGAACGGGCCAATCAACTCAGGTGCATGCCACCCAGCAGAGCCAGAGGACTTTCCACATCCACCCAGGTCTGAGGCACCATCGTGATAGATGAAATAGAGAAGGGCCGGAGACCGGGATGGCAGGACACAGGCTTTATTGGAGGGAAGAGTACCCCTGCCGGCTGCTTCCACAGAGAGGGGCGGAAGAGAGCGAGGGATGGGGTACAAGCACCTTTAAGGATAGGGGGATAGGGGACGGGGCTTAGGGCACAAGCTGATTGGTGATTAGGGACCTGGGGACTTAGGAATCGGGGGTTAGGGTATTTGGCAGGTGCTGATTGGTGATTCAGAGCTCAGGAATGTCCGGCTGCAGGTAGAGTTTACATCTGGGCATCAACTGGAGGAAGGGAGGATCTATCAATATTTACATTATGATTCATAACAGTAGCAAAATTACAGTTATGAAGTAGCAACAAAAATAATTTTATGGTTGGGGGTCACCACAACATGAGGAACTGTATTAGAGGGTTGCGGCATTAGAAAGGTTGAGAACCACCGGGCTAGAAGGACTCACGGGATTTAGAAAAGCTGATATACAGATGGTTACGGTTTATACAGGGAAAGGATGCAGATTAAAATCCACAAATGGGCAAGGCCTCTGGAGCGAGTCCAGGAGAGCCTGCATGCAGCAGGTCCAGCATGTGGGAAGGGCAGAGATGAGTGAGAAGGGTCTGTGCAAAAAAAAACATTTAACTTCCCAGCCCCTGAGCTTAGAGTGTACAGAACTCAAGTTGGTGTTCGGCCAGTGTGGTTCAGTGGCTGAGCGTTGACCCAGGAACCAAGAGGTCACTGGTGGGGTTCCCATGGTGACCAGATCACCCAAGGCCTGGAGCCACAGAGAGGGTTGTGGCCCCAGGCCCTGAAGGACTGACAGCTGAAGGCACTGAACACACTGGGGGCAGAGAAGTCAGAACAGAAAGGAATCCCATTCCAGCCAGTGCTTCATTTTCCACTCACTGTTCCCTGCACATTTGAAGGCACAGCAGGCTGGCTATGAAAAACTCATGAAAAACGCAAAATGGAATGAAAAAATCACCTGTAACCCCAGCAACCAGAGATGGTCGTTGTTACCTGTTAGCTGTTTCCTGTCCTAAGTGTTTGTGCACAGAGAAAAAAGCTACAGGTGTTGGTAGATGTACCCATATGTACAAAGCCGGAATCATCTGGAAAGTGTTCTGCATCCATCTTTTTTATTATTTTTTTATATTTTATTGATTTTTTAGAGAGAGGAAGGGAGAGGGACACAGAGCTAGAAACATCGATGAGAGCCCAAACCAGTTTGGCTCAATGGATAGAGCGTCGGCTTGGGGACTGAAAGGTCCCGGGTTCGATTCCAGTCAAGGGCATGTACCTTGGTTGCGGACACATCCCCAGCAGGGGGTGTGCAAGAGGCAGCTGATCGATGACTCTCATCGATGTTTCTAACTCACTCTCTCTCTCTCTTCCTCTCTGTAAAAAATCAATAAAATATATTTTAAAAAATAAAAAAAGGAAAGAAAAAGAAAAAGATAGGAAAAAAATAAAAAAAGGAAAGAAAAAGGAAAAGAAAGAAAAAGATAGAGCGTCGGCTTGGGGACTGAAGGGTCCCGGGTTCAATTGCAGTCAAGGGCATGTACCTTGGTTGCGGGCATATCCCCAGTAGGGGGTGTGCAGGAGGCAGCTGATAGATGACTCTCTCTCATCGATGTTTCTAACTCTCTATCTCTCTCCCTTCCTCTCTGTAAAAAAATCAATAAAATATATTTTTTTTTAAAAAGAAAAGAAACATTGATGAGAGAGAATCATCGACCAGCTGCCTCCTGCACAACACCTACTGGGGATATGCCCGCAACCATGGTACATGCCCTTGACCGGAATCGAACCTGGGACCCTTCAGTCCACAGACCACCGCTCTATCTATTGAGCCAAACCGGTTTAGGATCTAAAGTAGGGGTGTCGAACTCAATCAGAGAAGGGGCCAAAATCTAAAATCCAGCCTAAATCGCGGGCCGAATGGTTTACTGAACAGTCATAAACTGTCATTGTGATGGAAACGCAGCGGAGTGCAGTGATGACAGCGTGGTGCGGGCCACATTGCAAGGCCTGGCGGGACGGATTTGGCCCTCGGGCCTTGTGTTTGACACATGTGAATTCTAAAGGATCAATAAGGGGTCTAGGAGGAGAGGGCTCACCCGGCCCACTGGGGCTGTTCCTTAAGCAAAGACCCGGCTGCCCCAGGAAGTGGCGGGAGTGGCAGGGCCCGGGCGGGAAGGGGGAGGTTAGCTGGGAGGTGGGATTTGTGCAGGACCTCGAGGGGCGGGCTAGGAGACCCCTGAGAGACCTGGGGAGCTGTGGGAGGTTTGTCTGTCTGTCTGCGTGGTTAGTTGCGCTTACAGAAGAGTTCGGTGCAGGGTGGCGGTGTGGGCCGTGCAGGGAGGATGGAGGGAGCCAGGGAGGGCGAGGCCCCTGGGACTGGACACAGCAGGGCTGACCCCACCCTCAGACCCCAGGGCCCAGGAGCAGGTTTCAGGTGCGCTCTCCTCCTCCCCTCCCCCTCCCTTCCTCCTCCCGGGAGGGCGGGGGCAGCGATGGCCTTGCCCCGCTCAGCCTCGGAGCACAGACGGGCGGGCAGAGGGAGGGTGGGGCTGGGCAGAGAGAGTCTCCCCAGCTTTCCAAGGGAGCGGAAAGCAGAACCCCCACACTAACCGCTCAGCTAAGCACTCGGGGCGGCAGCCGAACCTTGAAGCCCAGCCTCCGCCCAGGACCTCCCAGTTTCCCAGATAAAGTCTTGGGCCAGAGCGGGGATGGGGGGGGGGGGGGCACCCTCAAAGTGTCCGGTCGGTTCCGAGGTTCCTGCCCTCGTGCCCCTGCGCGGCGGACCTGCGTCTCCTCCCGAGGGGTTCGGGGTTCGCTGCGGACCGCGGGTTCTGCCCCGAAAGGAGAAAGGAGATGCGCCCGCTCCTTTAAAACGGAATCAGCCAGAGGGGTGCTGGGCAGGGACCCGGCCCTGGGTGGGTCTGTCTGGGGCCGGCGGTGTGTGGGTGCTTGACTCCTTGTGGGAAAAATGTACCATATGAGTCCAAGGTGGTGTTTTTAAAATATATATTTTATTGATTTTTTTACAGAGCGGAAGGGAGAGGGAGAGATAGACACATCAATGATGAGAGAGAATCATGGATCGGCTGCCTCCTGACGCCCCACACTGGGGACAGAGCCCACAACCCAGGCGTGTGCCCTCCTGGTTCAGAGGTCCGCGCACAACCACTGAGCCACACTGCAGGGCAGGAAAAGGGGGCCTGGAGACAGGTTCAGGGGTTAGCCTGGGTGCACCTGCCCCTGGCCACTGCCCCCCTCCTTGCAAATCTCCTGAGGTCCCTTAGAATTTAGATGAATGCCTGTGGGGAAGAGGAGGGGGAGGGGGAAGATGCACGTTACTAGCACATCTTACTGAGCTCCATCGGGTCTACAGAGAAGAGAGAACCAGACATCCAAGTCACCACCAGCCCAGGGCGCTGACCCTGTGAGCGCCTTGGTGGGAGCTGTGAGGGGGCAGCAGGTGCCACTGCTGCATGGGGACCCTCGTGTGACCTTCACCGGGTCATGACTTCCAACCTGGGGGTGAGCCTCTTTCCTTCCCAAAACACACGGATTTGTTTTTGTTGTTGTTGGGGTAATGGGGAGAGGCGCTAAGAGTGCCAAATGCAGGACTGATTCATACTGTACTTGGAGATGAGTAACTGTAGGAGCTGTGGAAGCTTCCAAAGAGCCCAGCCTCCCGCTTTGGGTGAGAATGGGCCCAGGGAGGGCAGGACTCTTGTCCAAGGTCACACAGCAGGAAGTTAGGACACAGCTAAGTTCATGGCACAGACCCCCTGTCCCGTAGCAGACGGGCCCCTCCACGGAGGACTGAGCTTCCAGGAAGGAGGGAGGAGGGAGGGAAAGAAAGGCAGGAGGGAGGAGGGAAAGAGGGTGAGAAGGAAGGGTCCCTGAGGCTCAGGAGCACAGGAGGAGCAGAGGGGGAAGCGGCCAGGCCCTACCTGGGGTCCGCTGGGTGTATGTCCTACAGTCTTCAGCCTCTGACTTGCCGCAGTCCTTGGGGATGACGAATACCCCTGAGGTCTGGCAGCACCTCTGAGTGGGGCGGTGGAAGGGGTACACGTCTCTGCAGCAGCTCCACTTGGGGTTCTTGGGGTCCAGGGCCACGCTGCCACAGAGTCGCCACATCTCCTTTCTCACCACCAGCACGTTGCCTGGGGCCAGACAGCTCAGCATAAGGCCTGCCCTCCTCCTGTGCCTTATTTCTCCTGCTTCCATTCATCTCCCACCAGCACCTAGTTCCCACGTCCAGTCGGCCTCTGTCCAGCCCACGGGTGGGGTCTGCACTGAGCTCTCACACCCCCAGGGGGTGCCCGACCTGACCTTGTGAGCTGGGCTACCGACCGCCCACCCTGGGCCCACAGCCAGCGGTCCTTCGGAGTGATGCTCAGCCTCACTCAGGCTAGGGAGATGCCCTGTCTCCCCATGAGACTGGCCAGGTGGCTAAGTGGATGCTGGGCCTGGGGACTGGAGGGAGAGCAGATGGACAGGGCAGGCAGGAGGACCGCATCTTTAAAAAAAAAAAAAAAAAAAAAAAAAGCAAAGCTCTGTTGGAGTGACTAGTGGATAGAGCATCGGCCTGTGGACTGAAGGATCCTGGGTTCGATCCCAGTCAAGGGCACAGGCACAGGCTGCAGGCTTGATCCTTAGTCGGGGGCGTGCAGGAGGCAGTGGATCATGATTCTTTCTCATCATGGATGTTTCTCTCCCTCTCCCTTCTTCTTTGAAATCAATAAAAATAAAATAAATAATAAAAAAAGATGCGTCTTTCAACCCCCATTTATTTATTTATTTTATTTTATTTTAGAGAGAGGAGGGTAAGAGAGAGAAACGTCCATGTGAGAGAGAAACATTAATGGGCCACCCTCTGCAGGTGCCCTGATCAGTGGCCAGGGCGAGGTCAGCCTCTTTGGGCAGACAAAGGCGGGTTGGTGGGGAGAGGGGGGAGATGGTGGGGAAAGTAGGAGTGGGGAAGTGGAGCTTCAAAGGCTCAGAGACACTGGTCTCTGCACCTCCGTTCTTGCCACACACTTTCGGGTGCTGAATCACCTCTTCTCACTCACTCCCACATTTCTTCTGTCGCTCACCACTCACTGCACTTCCCTGGTCCTTGTGCTCCTGTCAGGGCTGAAACTATGGCACCTCATGTTGGAAGTTTGCTTAGAAAAGTAGGAGATAGAGGACTCCTTCCCCAAGTCCGGGTCCCAGCCCCACCCTCCCTTCACCTGCCCGTGGCCTTGGGCAATGAACTTCACCTCTGTGAGCCCCACTTTGTCATTTCTAAAAGGTCTCTCGTGCTTCAGGGGGTCACACAGACTGAGGGTGACAGTGGGGCTGAACGGAGGGAGTTTTAAGAGAAGAGCTCACCGCTGGGCCTGTGGCAGAAGGAGGCCCTTGACTTTGGCTCTTGACTCAGCAGGTCACTCCCCTTCTCCCGAGTCCCCATTTCTGCTCCCTCCCCAGAGGCGCTCCCTCCACCCTGCCCTGCACCCACACTCAGCACAAGGAGAGGGCATGGGGATGGGGGTGCTCACAGGGGCTGGCCCCCAGGACCCCGGTGGGAGGTGGTCTGAGCTCCTCGTGAGGCTGGCATTTCCACTGAGCAGGACACAAGGCACCGGGAGGGGCCCCACACCCATGCTCACCTGGGGCGGTTTGGGATTCTCCATGCACCAGTGGGAACAGCAGGAAGAAGAGAACTGCAGGGGAGAGAGGTTGAGGGTTGGTGTCCCAGTGGAGGAGTGGGTGGTGGGAAGCCCTTACCTTGGTACCTTGGGTGATGGGAGGCCCCTACCTGAGAAGATAAGGAGTCCCGACTCCCTCCCGCTGGGCCCTGGCCTGCATCTGGCTGCCCCTGGTCCATACATGTTACGGACCCACAGCATCTGGGGGAAGCTGTGGGTCCTGTGTTTTATATCCTGTGTTAGTCAGGTGACTTGGGTTGGGCTGAGTAGTCAGAAAGGCATGGCAATGTATTAACGACTCTTAGGGAGGTGTGGCTCTGGATTTGTTCAGTCACCTGGTGGGTGGTTTCATCACTGGGCCCCTAAGTTTCCAACTGAGTACAAACTGAGTCATTCATTCCCTGATTGCCAAATTCCAGAATTGAGGCATATTCCAGAATACACATTGGAATGTGTTTTGTTTCACTTCACATGAGCAGGTGGGAGAAATTTATTTAACTCAAGTACTTTATTTTTATCTATTTATTTTTAAATATATTTTATTGATGTTTTACAGAGAGGAAGGGAGAGGGATAGAGAGCCAGAAACGTCGATGAGAGAGAAACATCAAACAGCTGCCTCCTGCACACCCCCTACCGGGGATGTGCCCGCAACCAATGTATATGCCCTGACCGGAATCGAACCCGGGACCTTTCAGTCCACAGACCAACGTTCTACCACTAGCCAAACCGGTTTCAGCTTAACTCAAATACTTTATTTATTTATTTATTTATTTATTTATTTATTTATTTTTCTTAACTCAAATACTTTAAATGAGGGCACTGAAAATGTGGGGGAAAGCATAGGAGGAGTTGAAAGAGTAGGGAGAGGGAGCAGGAGATGATAAAAAAAACCACAAGTGCTCTTTTAATATGAGTCATTTATGTATTTATTTATTTTATCCTCACCTGAGGATATGTTTATTGATTTTTTATTTTTGAAATATATTTCTATTTATTTGAGAGAAGAAGGGAGGGGAAGAGAGAGCTAAGAACATCAATGATGAGACAGAATCATTGATCAGCTACTTCTTGCATGTCCCACATTGCAACTCCGGGTATGTGCTCTGACTGTGAGTCACACTATAGGTATGTGCTCTGATTGTGAATTACACTCTGATGCCTGGGTTCATATGTTGATGTTCAACCACTGAGATATGCTGATCTGGCTTTTTTGAGGGAGAGAGAGAAAACACACACACACACACACACACACACACACATTGATGTGAGAGAAAAACATCAATTAGTTGCCTCCTGTATGTGCCCCAACCAGGGATGGAACCTGAAACCTTTTTGGTGAACAAAACAAGGCTCCAGCCTGCTGAGCCACTTGGCCAGCGCTAATGTAAGCCATTCAGATGTAGGTCCTCCAGCGTTCAGGAAGCGACATGTGGCTTTCTTCATTTAGTGGATAATTGAGAATAGAACAGATAGATTACAACCTACAACCTACATTCTACCTATAACCCACAATCTACCCTGGTGTCGGGAACAAGTTCCTCAGCCAAGGACTTGACCCCTCTGGATGCCAGAAATTGGAAGAACACACGAGTGGCCATAGGTAGGTTTTGTTTTGTTTTGAAATGCATTTTTTATTTCAGAGAGGAAGGGAGAGGGAGAGCAATAGAAACATCAATGATGAGAGAGAATCACTAATCAGCTGCTTCCTGCCCGCCCCCTGTTGGGGATCAAGCCTGTGCTCTTAATTGGAATCGAACCCATGACTCTTCAATCTGTAGGTCAATGCTCTATCCACTGAGCCACACCAGCTAGAGCTAGACTTGCTTTTTATTCATTAGTTTTCTCATCTCCCATCGAAGGCTATTGCCCAGGTAGGGGGTCCTGGCCAGAGTATGCCAGAGGTTAAAGGCCCACTCTCCGTACGCACGTGAGCAGGCAATGACAACACTATGCTATGTTAAAGACCCCTTTGCCTTACGCATACGCGAGGCCAATGACCTAGCAGCAGCACTATATGTACTGCACCAGCACACCCTTATATATATAATATAACCTCCTATTAATGGAGCACAGCTGTCACTATTTGGCACGAGGCTTCTTTGGTTTAAGCATGTATATAAGATGCCACTGGCCAGCCAGTGCTTTCATAACAAAACATGTCCCACCACCCTGGATGGTTTTGCTCAGTGGATAGAGCATCATTTTTTAAATGAAGAAAAGTTCAAAGCAATGCAAAGAGAAATGGAGTCACGTTCCAAGCTACTCTGCACAAGTTCACGGGCCTGGACTTGTGAGAACTCTGGTGCCTTGACATTCATCCTATTGCCCTCGCGTAAGACATTCATGCCTTACGCATACGCGAGAGCAATGAGCTAGCAGCAGCACTAGTGGGGATAGTTCTCTCTCACATAGACATCTCTCTCTATCTAGTGAGCCAAACCGGCTAAGGCTGGTTTGATGTTTTAATGTTCATGTTGTTTTGTTTGTTTACTAGACTGTAATCTCCTTGAAGACAGTAATACCAGTGCTTAGAACTTTTGCCTGACTCAGTTTTGCATCCTCCACAGTGCTGGCATAAGCTGCTGTTCAAAAATGATTGTTAAATGCATGAACAAAAGAATGAGTTTCTGTATCTGAAGCATTTCCTTTCCTCAGAGAGGTTCTCAGTGCACACAATATTGCTCCCTCGGAAATATATTGAAATTCTATGGGGAGGGGGCAGTTTTTGGCCTGTAAAGTTCTCATATTGGTGTACATATTTACATAGTGAAAAATATTGTTTTATTGTTTTTACTCATATTAGTATTGCATTTTAGAATCAATGACTTTCTCTTTATTTTTCACTTGTAGAACACTGACTTCTTGAAATTATTTGCGTAAATAGCTGGCATTATCTATGAATTTAATTCCAGGAGAGTAAAATGATGTTAAATTTTTGTTGTAAATACAGGGTGTTGAGTATGGCAGACTGAGTACTAGTACCTATGTTTATAAGACTGTTTATAAGACCACTAAGTGCTGAAATCGGTCTGGCTCAGTGGATAGAGCATTGGTCTGTGGAGTGAAAAGTCCCTGATTTGATTCTGGTCAAGGGCATATACCTTGGTTGCGGGCACATCCCCAGTAGGAGGTGTGCAGGAGGCAGCTGATGGATGTTTCTCTCTCATCGATGTTTTTAACTCTCTATCCCTCTCTCTTCTTCTCAGTAAAAAATTAATAAAATATATATTTGTTTAAAAAAAAGACCATTAAGCTTCGCTTGCTTATGCTCCCACAAGTCCTAGGATTCTAAGATGAAAATAAAAATAAAAAGAAGCTGGTGTCCATTGATTTCAACCATCAGGCCTTCCCTTGAAGACACGGCATATTTTAGGATTAGTGGGGCTCAGCGGAGCACGGATGTCATAGCACAGAGGCTCGGTGAGTGGACTGGGGGTGGGGATGAATGTCAAGGCACCAGAGTTCTCACAAGTCCAGGCCCGTGAACTTGTGCAGAGTAGCTTGGAACGTGAGTTCTTTCTCTTTGCGTTGGTTTGAACTTTTCTTCATTTAAAAAATGATGCGGGGGGGGGGGGGGGGGGGGGGGGAGGGCAGTGCCACCGTCTGGTTTTCCCATACCCTGAGGAGGCGGGGATGGGAGCGCCGGGCAGGCCCGCGGGCAGGGGACGAGGGCACGAGGGCAGGCCACGATGCCAGAAGTGAGTGGAAAATTGTAGGCGAGCAGACTTAGGAGATAAAATACCTGATCAACTAAATAAACATTATCGATTCTGTGCCAAACACTTCGAGACCTCTATGATCTGTAGAACTAGTCCTTATAGGACAGTTCTTCGAGATAATGCAATACCAGCAATATTTGATCTTATCAGTCATTTGAACAAGCCACATAGTAGACACAGAAAACAAATAAAAGAACTGAGTGAAGATGAAATCAGGACACTGAAACAGAAAAAAAATTGACAAAACTTCTGAACAGGAACAAAAACATAAAGAGATCAACAACAGTAGGGGTGTCGAACTCAATCAGAGAAGGGGCCAAAATCTAAAATCCAGCCTAAATCGCGGGCCGAATGGTTTACTGAACAGTCATAAACTGTCATTGTGATGGAAACGCAGCGGAGTGCAGTGATGACAGCGCGGTGCGGGCCACATTGCAAGGCCTGGCGGGACGGATTTGGCCCGCAGGCCTTGTGTTTGACACACGTGCTCTAGATGGACGTGAAGCGGATGAAGTCCCAGAAGGTCTCTTTACTCCTGATAACTTTCAGGCACTGCCGGAGTGCCGGATAAATTCGGGGGAAGAGGTTCTGAGGAAGCGCTTTGAGACAACAGCAGTCAACACCCTGTTCTGTTCCAAAGCACAGCAGAAACAGATGCTGGAGATCTGTGAGAGCTGCATTCGGGAAGAAACGCTCAGGGGAGCGAGAGACTCCCACTTCTTTTCCATTCTCACTGAGGACGTAGTGGACACAGCAGGGGCAGAGCATGCTGGTGAGGTTTGTTGACGAAGCTCAGAACCCGGGAGAGGAACTTGTGGGTTCCCTGCCTTACGAAGCTGATGCGGAAATTTGGCTATGAAATTTCACACTACGGTCACTGAAAAGTGGGGATTAAACATGGAATATTGTTGTGGCCAGGCTTACACTGTGTCCAGTGGATTTTCTTCCAAAAGGAAAGTTGTTGCTTTTGGAGAAATATCCCCCGAGCTGTCTACACACTCTGCTCTTCCTGTGCCTTAAATATGTGGTTGGCAAAATCGGTGCCTGTTAAGGGAGTGTCTGTTGCGTTAGGAACAATTGAGGAAGTTTGATTTTTTTCCCCATCTATCACCACAACTGCTTTTAGAGCTTGACGACAACGTAATTTCTTTCTTTCTTTTTTTAAAAAAAAATATATTTTATTGATTTTGTACAGAGAGGAAGGGAGAGAGATAGAGAGTTAGAAACATCGATGAGAGAAAGTCATAGACCAGCTGCCTCTTGCACACCCCCTACTGGGGATATGCCCGCAACCAAGGTACATGCCCTTGACCGGAATCGAACCCGGGACCTTACAGTCCCCAAGCCGACGCTCTATCCATTGAGCCAAACCGGCCTCGCACGACCACGTAATTTCTGTCCTCTTTCAGAACAATGAGGAAAGGGGTAAAGAACTGAAGGAAATGTGCCATTCTCAGTGGACAGGCAGGCACGATGCTTTTGAA